TAGGCTTAAATCGAAGAAATCCGGTGCTGCCAAATTGCTGGATCCGCTTCTGGTTAAAAGAGATTTTCGGGACTCCTCTCTACTATAATGCTAAGACGGTATTTTTCGACGTCTATTTAACTTGAGAGGGAATTTATAACGATTCCGATTTATAACGGGCCTCTTCCCGGTTTCCACACTTCTACACGATCCAACTCTCGGCTAACGTCATAACGAACTTGCTTCACAGCGATAAATGGCACGGGTCATTTTTCAAAAATTTGAAAAAAGCGAGCCGGAAAATCATGCAAATTGGTCCGGCCGATTTATGAATACTGCCGTGCTAAGGAAAAACGCCGTATGAACCATCTGATGTTGCCAAATTTCTTTTTATAAAATACTGATTTACTGGGAAAGTTGAGGGTATTTTTCTTCTAACTTTTCAGGCAATATTGTTCGCACTTCAATCTAAAATATCTGACAATATCAAGGAAAAATATGCAGAACTTCCTTCATAAATCAATGTTTTATCGGAGGAAATTTGGCAACTCTCGAATGTTCATCCTTAATGAATGTTTTTCCTTAGCATGACAGAAAATGACAGTCATTTCCCGGACGAAAAGGCGCGACGGCCATTCCAAGATTTCAAAATCGGCCCTAACTATTGACTTTTTCACGAGAATTTGACTTCGCAAAGGATCAGTTGCGCTGGTCACAGAAGCGTGTTTTGAAGCCTAATTCTCGTAGATTATCAAAACACAATAAGATCCATCCGAACACCAACTTCTTAGGCTTAATATTAACAGAGATATCGTGCCTTGAAAAATTCAACAGTGCGAATGTATGTCTCAAAGATTGATGGGAGCAAGGTGGAAGGTACCACGGGGGTCACTTCCGCGGTGGATGACGTCATAAACCGAATTCGACAAAGCGCGATATCTCTGTTAATATTGAACGTAGAGAGTTGCTGTTTGGTCAGATCTTATTATAGGTACTTAGCTAATTTTAAAAAATAAAGCATCATACTACAATTCTATGACCGGCGCAACTGACCAATTACTGCACAAATTTTGCCGATTTTTGCCCCTATAATTAGAAATCGGTGAAAATTCAAAAAAAAAAAAAATGCGACAGTTTTTTAGTGAAAGTACAGTCCACGTGTGGAAATTTTGCAGCATTGGTTTATAAGAGCGAAGTTTCGTCTCAAAAACGAAAAAATGAGACTGAGGACGGTGGAAAAGCCAGGATAGGTAATTTTTCATGGCTTCATGGTCCTCATACTTGAAGGCAAGAATATAAATATGATCCACGTATGTAACCGCATTAAAGGCACTATCTGCACTACATTCTGCAAAAAGGAGCCGATACTTTTGAACTCATTCTAGGAGCGACGTAAATGCCGTCGATTTTCCTGCGCAGATAGTTGCTTTCATCAAACAGTCCGACATATCAGTTCCTCGTTGCAAAATGTAGCCTATTTTAGGTTGAACACACAAAATTGCCCAACCGTTGGAGAGAAACTCTCACTGTCTGCTAGGAGGATCAGTTTTTTTCTTCCGTGCCTTCGCTTTTAAGTTAATAATTTATAATGAGACTGGGTATTGTCCATTGCAACACGAATGCAATGAGACCGCCGGCAATAAATCGATATAGTGTCGTAACGAATACGCGCTATTTCAACGACTAAAACTACTGCGACGACGACGGTCAAACCGATCAACTATATAGCGAGTTCAAATGCCGATAGGTTATGTAACGGCGTTTACAGGGAACTAAGATAACGTAAAACGGCTCGAATAAATCAACGGAGAGGCATTATGGCATGAATGAAATGGATGAATGGAAAACGGGCTACGAATCCAACTAATTGGGAGCGAAGGTTTTAATAAACAGCCGTGATCTACTCCGACTTGCTGAGGAAAAATCGCCGATCTACGTAGGTTTTTCATCGGAAGATACGACGTTTCTCACTTAGCAGGGCACCATTTTGCGGAACCAACACATCGAAAGCAGGGAACTTTCATAATTTGTTGTTTTAAAAATATTATCGGCCGAGATATTGAGTATGCGACCGAGATTAACGTACCTGAAAGATTTCATGGCACTGATCTCTGCTCACCCTAGTTCGGTCGATCAATGCGATATCTTAGCGTAATTTAGTCGTATCTGCTATGATGACGCCATGATCCGTCGTTTCCAATACGAAAGAACTTAACTCCACTGCAAGGTTGCGAAACTGCTCATACCATTAAATTTCGTAGAAAATATGACTGTGCGATGTTTTACAAAAAAAAAAAAAAAAAAAAAAAAAAACTTGGGGATTCTGGCGTGTAGTCTGTGGAGAAACCAGCAGAATTTTCAGTTGGAAACGCCCGACGGTTCTCGAGTGAATACGTAATATACGAAAAGAAATTTTACAACACTGCAATTGATTATTTTGACTGAAGACAACGGATTATGTTGTGCATTTTGGTCATAATTATGATATCATACTGAACGCAGTTGAAAAATCAAAGTTGTGAAAGATATGAAACATGTTTTCAAAGGCTGCGTATGCAACACGCACTAAAAACCGCCATAAAGCTAAAACCATTCGCCCTCCATTTAATTGTGCATCCAATTCCAAAAAATATTTTTCAGTAACCTTTACATTTTTCTAAAGTTTCATAATATATTTCACATGTTTTAAGATTTTATTTTTCATGAAAAATTGCAAGCTTGGATAGAGAGCAATGGCAAGGAAGTACCGCGGAGGCCAGGGCGGGCTATATAGCGACATGTATTAATAAAGAGATGTGGTTTCTTAGTGTCATCACGTCATGTCAAATGATAAAAAAGCTCAGTCAGGATTTCTTCTACAAAGTCTACGCAACTTTTAAATATAAAGTAAGAAAAGCTACTGGCTAGCTGATCTATTCAAGAGGTGGCGGTGACCTCTTCGCGTTTCGCGTTATAATAATTATTGCTACTGCACTAGCGAAAATTAGAATGACATGTTGGTCATGATCGACGGAGCAAAAACCATAGATTTTCCAAAATTTTCTCGTAGAATTGAGTGATTTTCTGATAACAGTGTGCCACAGCTCCGCATTTTAGAGGCAAAGGAAAACGTATTGTTTTCATTGAAAATCTCGCCTTTGTAGTCTGAACTCCTGAGCGAATCGATTACTGAATCGTTATCGAATCAGACTGATCGATAAATACCTATCTTGGCAATGCTATGTATCGATCATATTGGTTCGATAGCGATTCGATGTGAAGCTTTGCCGGCTCCCGATTACTGAGTCCCAAAAAGTATAACTCAGGGCTATTCGAAACTTCATTTTTGCCGGTTTATTATATAACGATGGTATGAGAAGAATAACACGTCCCTCGACTGGAGACATTCCGAGATCTTCTCGTGAATTATTTATCATAAAATAATTTGATTTGGAATAATACGTACAATTCGTCATATAATTTGTTTAGATGCTTGTATTTAAAAGCATTTACCGAAATACGCGCACCACTGTACCGATGTAGGAATGATTATAATTTATTTTTGGGGGACGAATATATATTGACAAAAAGGTAAAATTAAAACACAGTGTGGCATCTCGATTGCGGTGTTTCAAAATTTAGCCTCATATTTTAGTTTTTCTGGAAATTACGAACTATTATTGGTGTATTGAAAGTTCAAGGAATTTTCTCAAACGAGTGATAAAAGTCGCACAAAATTGTGTGTGATAAAGACCGAAAGACGGTTCACTCAAAGCACGAGGAGATAACTTGAGCCGGTTTCAAAATTTGAAAAACTACAACTCCGATCAGGTATTTTTCAAAGCATAGAGGCAGGCACCGAATCATTTTTCTTTTCTTTAATTTTCGAACAATTGAAAATAGAAAATCTAATGATTTGACTTACTTGCTTTCTAAATTATTATTTCTCTTCGTTGGGGAAGGATTTAAATAAGGTAGAAACGTCACAAAAACACAACCAATCAGTGTCAATCATTTTTGATGAAAAAACCTTCCCCCCTTTCAGCTTTAAAACCCTCGGATCTCATTCGAAAACAAATTACTTCCTATAACTTTATTTTGGGACAGCTTGCATTCCACGGGAACGTCGAATAAATAACAGCGTGTGCGATTTCCCGATGGAAAACCAAATTCCTCATTACTTGGAAACTTTCGAATTTGGCAAATCAATTATCCCCGAACTTTTGATTTGAGGAGACTCGATCATTTTTGCCTCAAGGAGGAAATCCGAGTCAGTCGAGGGCCTTGTTCCCACGGGACATTTCGTGGGATCTGTCCCAGGGAAAAATCTCACAAGTTGGGAAAAATATTGAGTAAGTCAATAGTAATCAGAGTGCCAACTAAGAGTTATTAGGGGGTCCCAAGAACGTCTTAAAGAGAAAAAGAAGACAATTTGCTGTGTTGTTTCGCGGGAAAACAGCCCACAAGTTTCATTCTTGCGATGGAGAATTTGCAGATGTCTGAAATCTGCTGAATTTCGCAGATAATGGGAAACTACTGAGTGAACTGAACACGAGGATACCCTTGGTTCATGAATTGAACAATTATTAGAGAGGATATGACAAAATGATCCACTCTGCTAAAATACGTCCGTTTAAATGGGAAATGCCACCAGATGACGTCACTAGGCGGTGAATTTTTTCACTATTAAGTCTGTTTTTATGCTATTTCCCATATCAGAAAAAAATTACAAGAAATACTGCGAGTCAGCTTTTTAAGGATTTTCAGATGAAGCAATAACACAAGTGCATGCAAATCCTCCATTCGAACTTGTGAAAAACCCCGTGGAACGTCCCGTGGAGACAAGACAGAAAGCAAGTCAGTTTTTCGGCTGAACCCCGGCTCTAAAAACAAACAAACACCACTCCAGCGTCGCAGTTAATTACAGTCCCGGAGCATTTTCCTTTCGGCATGCATTGTCCCGGGGCGCCGGCCGGTAATTGGTCGATTGTCCGGGGCGCCCGTCGTCGAAAGCGTTTGAAATTGACATGGAAATGACTCACCAACGGGTTTAAAACTACAGAGTTCGATCGGAACCGTGCGCCACCTCTTCTTAGCCTTCTTACCCATGTGATGAGCACATCGACACCTCTCGGATGAAACACGCACGCACAGACTGACTGGGCCGGGCCGGGTCCCGGAGCGACGACGCTGCCGGCGCGGCGGGCGACGCACCTGGCGCGCAGGTCCCCTCGACGATGGCACCGCGCTCTCACGTCACATCTGCAAAGCAAACATCTCAATTAGTGTTTAACGCCATTAAATCACTGGATACATTTAACAGTTTCATTGCCGCTTAATTGGGTTTTTCAGGGATACAGCCCTGTCGAGCTTGTTAATCTGCCCACTTGAGCACCGGGCCACGCCGTGCGCCGCGTCGGGCGTCGCGGCGCCGTTTGCCTCCGCGGACTCCTTCCTTCCGCCCGGGGCTCGCGTTTTCCTCGGAAAATCCGTCGCTCCCCAATTGGAAGAACGGAACTACATTTTTGGCTCATCTGAAAAAGCACTTATGTGCATAGGGAGACTAGTGGCACATACCTTGTTTTTAGACCGGGCTAGAATTTGTAGTTCCAAGTTGCAAGGTGTAGTCCAATTAAGCTAAGACTGTTGCTACACCGAAAAAAACGGTATGCTGTTTTTGCACCTAGGATGTCAAAAATGTGTCTGGTCATCCTAAGATGCTACCTGATTGCCCACGCAGTTGAATTTGCATTCGCAGGATGTAAAGTTAACTGCGAGGGCAGTAAAGGCAGCATTTTGGGATCACCAGACACATTTTTGACATCCTAGGTGCTAAAACAGCATACTATTTTTTCAGTGCACTGTGTCATAACTAAGGGACTGTGCTATTTGAGCAGCGGGGCCAGTCGTAGTGTAAGATTTATTTTTTATTTTTTAAGTTTAATTTAAGTTTTTTTAGATTTACTACTCTTGCCACACAAGAGGTTTCTTTCGGCAATGTCTTCTTGTAGTAATTGCATACTGTTTTTTGTTAAAATTTTCATTGAATATAAAGAACTATCTATCTATCTACATTTGGGCGTATTTATGCTAAGAGCGACTATGTGCAAGTGGAAAGATGGGGTATGCTCGTGGTGAGCTGGGTGAGAAACAATGTAAAAGTGGATATAGTTCCTTTTGGGAAAATTAATAAGTCGGGATTTTCAATTAAATCAAGAGAAACTGAGCGCTAACTCGTGAGCCGTGGGCATGTGACAAGAGCGTTAGGGGTAGGGCTCATGAGTTAAAGACTGACGACGGACGACCTAGTCGTCGTCGCTCCCTTCGCTTGTCGTCGAGCCGCGGTCCTCACCGTTGACGTCACTGGCGCTTTTAAATTCCCATTCATTCTCATGGCCCGAGCACTAACGAGCACACCCCATCTTTCCACTTGCACATAGTTCCATTTAGCCTAAATACGTCCATTTGGACGTACTCCTGCGAAACGTAACTAGAGTCAGTTGGAAAAGATGCACTGGAGAAAAAAGTTACGGGCAACAAAGACATACCGTCCTTCACGGCTCAGAGGCCGAAAGTTCCGGGTGCTACGCCCGGAACGGTATGTCTATATAGCCCGTGAGTACGGCTTCCACGGCCGGAATTTATTTTCAGTGTGGAGTGCGCTCGCGTGGCAGTTGCAGAAGAAATCTTGTAAAAGAGGGCGTGATTTCCTTCGGGGACATGGAAAAGCGGGATTTTTTTATAAAATCAAACGGCACTGAGCGCCAACTGTGTGCGGCACTCATGAGCTTCGGGCCGTGAAAAGCTCAGGATTTGCTCTGTGGATAGTTGTATTGATGGGTCAATTGTACTGAATCGTGTTTTGATGCTCACAAAAAAAAAAAAAAAAAAAAAAAAAAAAAAAAAAAATAAAAAAAAAATTACCCTCTAAGATAATGATTCTATCAGCGATCTAAGTTCAAATCCAAGGGTGCATCACCCTCAAAGATAATAGCATGGCGTCATCCACAACAGTTTTGTATACTGCACTTGTTCCTTCTACTATGGTTTCATCAACGATGATCACTCTACTCCCTCGATGACATGTCGAAACTTCTACTTTCAAAATCCACCCTCCAACCCCTGAAATTACCATTTTATTGGCTGTTGACCAACTTGCTGAGAAATTCGTTTCACGAGCACGCCACTGCTTTGAAAAGATTGGCATACCAATCAACGTGCAGCTGAAGAGCTACCAAGCGGCGAATATGAGTTCCTCTGATATAAAAGATGCAAGAACTACGATCTTTGCCGGGATCCCAGCGAAAGGTTCAAGTTTTATTCGCCATGATTGTGTAACCTAGATTAGGTTGGGTTAGGTTAGGTTGGGTTGTGCAATCGAGCAGGAAAATGCATACCGGAAACTGGCCGACTTTTTACCGGCCTGACCTACCTTACACTTCTGCCTCGAGTGCCATGCCAAGAATTGCTTAGAGTTCAAAGCGCGGTAGCTAGCCGTACGGATCTCGATGTATTTGATTTGGGACTTCTTAATTGACTTGAGCATTCAGAGAGGCTTCGCATGATGTGTCTCTATAGATACTGACCACGAGACAAGGGACCGAAATACTTGCATGTGAGTCATTGATGCCACGACTGCATAAAGGTGGGCATGTTTTATAAATGTTTTGGCAAAATAAACTTCCAAAAATACCAAACGAAACAGTAGTCGCAACAGTTTTAAACATATTTAAACATCCTTTGAGAAGCAGCAAGTATAAAAATAAAATTGAAACTAATGAAAAGTGAATTTCTGACCATTATGCCATGAATTGTTTACTATTTATTTCATATCTGAGGCCCCTCGGACTTGCGCCATCATCAGATGGAACACATCGGAGTTAAGTATGTACACACATAGTTAATTAATAGTAAATATAATAGTATTAATAGTAGCATTAATAGTAATTATCTACAGCAATCAAACCACACCGACTACAGATCACAAAAAAGCAAAAAGCCAAGCAAACTTGGATTGTTTGTTTTCATTTGCAATTGCGAACGTAGGTTGAACTAGCTAATTATTGTGTCTTTTATTATTTGTATAAACTTGAAGATGTAATCATGTGGAATCATGTAGTTTGCTTGGCTTCTTGCTTTTTTGTGTTTGTATCGTTGTAGTCGGTGTGCTTTGATTGCTGTACATAATTGTAGTAATTAACTTTGTTTGTACATACGTAACTTTGATGTGTTCCCTTTGATGATGGTGGAAGTCCGAAAGGCCTAAGGTATGAAATCAATGATAAAAAATTCGCAGCATAATTGGACTCAAGCATAGTTGCTGGAAACTTGAGTTTAGGACTGTATAAATCTTCGAGGATTACGATTTCATCATTCCTGCATTGCGCTTGCTCGCATAACAGTGTCAGAGAATTGTTTCATTGCCCAATAAAAATAATAATAATAAATAGAAATAATAAAAAACGAGCAAGCGAGGAGCAAAATTGCGAATCAACGTGAAGAAGAATTGGGGGGGGGGATTCTCAGATAGCACTTCATACATTGTCACACCAATGGTCAAGAATTCCTCCATACTAGGTGAGTTTAGCGATCGTCCATGCATCAAACTTTACGAGGACGACCATTTAACCAAAATAATTTCCAATAAGTTGAAAATGTGAGATCCTCTTGTAGTTCTTCTTTTTTTTTTGTAGCGCAACCACACACTTGTGCTGTAGCTTTCCTCCTCCGGTGATTAGTCTTGTATCACCAGCTCTCGCTGTGACAACTTTGGGGAGCATGGAAACGCCTTCAATCTCGCCGCATAGGCAAAAAAACATACTGCGGAGAACGAATAGTTATCTCTCAAAAAACACTCATTTGAACCGCTCTGTAAGCCCCGATTGAACCGATGAACAATGTTGTTAGCCAATGGGCCTGTTGCAAACTTCAGCTAGAGTAAATAGAAGAGTTTATTTTATATAAAAAAAAGAGCTTAAAAATCAGGAAGAGCGCATCGGGAAAGTATAAAATAAACTCCTAAGTTCACAATTTGCGTAAGAAATATGCGTTTTTTAGGCTTCCCGCTTGAAAAATCACACACAGGTGAACATTTCGTCAGAAGATTTGTTCCCTCCAACCTTTGCGCACCAGGATGCTACCCAGTGTTCGAAACTCACCTAGCCTATGTTTTAGGAGCCATGTGACGCATCAAGCTCGATTTTTAGGGGCCATTGATGAGTTTTTAAGGGCCAGATTGACTTTTTGCCTATTTATCACGGCGCATTTAGTGAAATGTTAGACGCGAGATGTTTTAGTCACAGAACTAGTAACCGTAACTTGGGGGAGATTTCGAAAATCTACCGAACAGAAAAATTAGGAATTTTTTTTATTGGGGGGGGGGGGGGAGGAGCAATTTTTTGGGGGCCACGTTGGCGCAGAACCTTCATTTTTTAGGCGCCATGACCGATTTATTAGGCGCATTTGGCGCGTTGGCGCCTGTAAGTTTCGAACACTGACGCTACCCAATATTTAGTATGACCGAAGCCAACTCGCCAAAACACACCCACCAAGACGGGAGTTTATCAACCGGCGCAGCTAGAGCTATGGCGCGAAATTTGAATTTTAACAACACTGAAAAAAAAGATTGGTAAAATTGTCCATTCCTTGACGCTGTATTTCACAGAGCGTCAATTTGGAGTCAATTCTACCAGAAGAAATGTAAATGTTACTATATACTGGTACAGGTAACCATTCCTCTGGCAGAACCGACTTGAAGATCGGTAGAATGTACCATTCCTTCACGCTGTGAGAAATACGAAGGAATGGTAAATTCTGCCAATCTTTTTTTTTCAGTGAACTTTGCAGTCTCGGCCGAAAACACTGGATCGTATTCGATACACCCAACGGGTGAGATTGTATCGATATCGATTGGTTCAAAACATAGCCTCAAAAGTCAATTGAGTTATCTGACGGGTTTTTTTGCGATAGATTTTTCATTCGTAAGATTACTTTTTTCCCAAGAGTAGTGGAACTGCTGCGAAATTTCTCATTTTCAGCTTTTCTGACGAATATCCTACAATTTTGATTTGAGGCTATATTCTATTGTTTTGCACCAAACGATACATCGAACCACCATCGAATACACTGAAAAAAATTCTCGGCGTTTTTACCACGGTCCGTTGGTACCTTTACCATCTCAGTTTTTTTTACCAATTATTGTTAATTTTACCAAGACAGACTGGTAAGCTCACCTAAAAACCGGTATTTTTACGGTTTTTTTC